ATATATTATGTTACATTTAAAATAAGAAAGTTGATATTCACCCACGAAAAATTAAGCACCCTGTATATACAAAATTAAAATATATTAACCGTTTGTAATATCTCAGTTAAGATTTGTATTTAACTTTTGGCTCCGTCCCTTATAGCTTCTGAGATAAGATCTTAAGATAAACGGCCCACCCTGTACAAAATGCCGACGACAGCAAGGATCCCAACTTTACTTGCGGGAGATGTGATGATTCGGAAAGTGGTCAATATGAAGTGTTTGATCACTCTGATGCAGATAAAGGCTTCGACCCGGATCTAACCAAAACTTGCTTTTAGTACCTATTAATTATTGATTTAAAAATATATATATCAACCGTCTATATATACTTCTACTACTTTACTACTTTTTCATTCTCCATTTTTGTTAATTGAGAAATATCGCCACCATTAACTAAAGCAGTGGCAGAAGTTCTCCTAAAGCAAGGGCGGGTATACTTCCATGATTCAGACAGTCCAAGTACTTCGTTGTCGTTTGTTGCTTTTGCGATAAAATGTACCATTTGAATATTTCAACAGTAATCTACGGATCATAAAATTTTGTTAAGCTTGAAGCTAATATATTTTTTATAGATTGATAAGTAGTCCAATATTACATTATTTGTCACAGTGAATATTCTGCTATTGTCAGCCTTAGAATCAGATGGTTTTACAATACGAATTGACAGTTTTATTTGAGCTCTGAAGAAGCCAACAGGATCCCACCTACGAAATATTGTCCTAATATGAGCCATCTATATTTCTTATCTTGTACACTAAGATAGTTTACCTCTATTGAACTGGTGTAGATGTGAATAATGATATCCAGAATCGAACGTAGATCACAATCAGTCCAATTTTCCAGTATCCACATTGCTGAGAAGATATCCAGCACTCGCATTGGTTTTATTCCCCTTCCCACACCACTGTACGCCTTTACGTAGCATATCCTATACCTATCTCTTACTATTTATGAGCAAAATAAAAAACAGAAATTTAATTTTTAAATGGAGTGTCTAGGTACCAGTAAAGTTCTAAAATTGTCACAATTACATTTCTGTCATCCAAATGATACTCAGAGGATTGAAATTTTAATTTTAATTGGATATGGAGGCAAAACGAGAAAAGAAGAAGTTTGAAAAATTGGGACAAAATTTATAGAAACAGGGCATGTAAAGAAATTATTTTATTAGGTGTTGGAAAAGGCCACCATATGGTAATATGGTAATTAGTCAGAGTATTTTTACTAATTTACCTCGTTTCGTATCTAATTCTTAATTTAAATTCCTCACCCTTTTGCTCATGAAAAGATAAGATAGGTATAAGATATGCAACATGAATTAAGCGCGATATTTAACGCAGAATTCCAAAATGAGTTAAAAAAAAATAATCTACTTTGTATATTTTCGATTTTCTGCAAAACTAATAAAACATTCATTTTCTTCTATTTTTAAATTTTGTTTTAAATTCTTTTTAAAATTCTATTCTTCAACCTTTTTGCACAGTTGCAAAAAAAATAGGATAACGCTTGTTTGACATCAATATTATTCGAAAAGATGTAAAAAAAATGCAACGGAATTTGAATCAAATGGCACAGGGCGTTCAAAATTAACGAATAAATTTGGATCAATTCAAATTGGGAAATCTCGATTTTCATAAATGGCACACTATAACTGTTATTATTTTTTCTGAAATATCTTACAAAAAGCTACAGCTTTTATTAAGTATGTCATATATTTATTTTTAACACTTGCGATTTATTTTAACTTTTTTAAATTTCTACTTTTCTATCTGTCTAAGACTATTACTGTAACATTAATTGCCATGCCAAAATGGTATTGACAATTTTTTACCTGACAACTGAGTAAATAAAATTTATTGTGGTGTTACTAAATAAAAAAAAACTTTGTTGGCAGTAAGACTTTACAAGGACAACTACTAGACAACTAGAAAATCTCTTCAGCGTTTAATACAACATTTTGATGCTAGTGGTTGTACATAATATGAAAAACGAGAAGGGGTAAATTCGAATTTTATCGCAAGTTTAAAATAATCGCCAAGTCACTAGCCGAAAAGTAGCTAACTTATGTGACACATCCCAATCTATGTTAATCGCACCGCTACACAAATATCATCCCTCCATATGAAATTACACTAAGAACTTCTAGACCGTGGTTTTGAACAAAATCTAAAAATAAATCAAATAATAGAAGCCGATCCAAATTTTTTGTATAAAAAAATGTTTTCTGATGAAGCTACTATTTGCAGTAGCGGTGCAGTTGATCATCATAATATGAATTATTACTCAACACTTAATCGATCCAATGTAGGTGCGGCGTGTGCAAAACCAAAACTTAATGTTTAGTATAAATCATTTAACGGGACTAGATGTTTAAACTTTTGTTGAAGTTTAAGCATCTTGTTGAATTAAGATCTAACGAATGTGCTTTCAGCAAGATGGGGCTCCTCCGCAATATCATCTAGAATTTTTAAATAATCGTTGCCGACGGAAATGGATAGGAAGAGGTGGTCATTGTCACCAGAAGATATAGAAAATAGGATTTGGGATGCGTGCAGTAGAATAACACCGTTTATTCTAAGGAGCGTCTAAGAAAATATGTGTATCCAAGTAGAAGGGCACAGTTTTGATGACTAATTGCGCCCTAATATTAATTAAAAAATAAGATAAGCAGTAATAGTTATTTAATATTAGTTACTTTTTGCTAATAATAAAATTGCTAATAACTGCCTGTTGCCTTATCTACCGCTCCAACAAAGTTCTTTCTCCTGCTTATTTTGTAAACTAACAGTTTTTTTATGGCCAAATAAGACTATTGCTCTCTTAGACAGAAATAACGGTAAATTAATATCGGAAAAGTTAATATAATTCGCAAAATATCAATAAAAGGTAATTAATATACTTAACAAAAGTGCAACGTTGTTGTAAGTTCTATCAGCTAAAATAATAATATACCGGATGATTGCATGTTAACTTTTAGGTGCCCAAATATTCAGTCCCTTGTACATTTTGTAGCATAGTTGTATTGGAACTTTTTGAAAGGACCTGTGACTCATGTGCCGCGTTTAAATAAATTTTAAGACGCCAATCTTTAGTTGTTAGCTGGAAATGACGTTAATATAGCAGAAGAAAGGGACAGTAGAGATTTGAACATTTTACTTCATGTGGAGGAAAAGAGAATGATCCGTACGCGGATTCTTGGACAAGTTGTAAATAAACATCAAACTATAGTGTTGCGAACAAGCACCATGAGCTCCGAGAGGGCGATGAAGAAAAAAGAGTAGCATTTTGCAAATAATGGTGGGGATTTAAAAAAAAGGATTCACTCATGATTGTATATTCACGCTCATCAATGAACCAAATGTTCAAAACTGTCGGTATTGGAGCCAAGAGAATGAATATCGTTTTGTTTATACTCGAACTCTAAAAAAAGAAAACTTATGGTGGAAATTTACGGACATCATATTATTGAGCCAATTTTTATAGACTATAACCTTACGGCCGAAATCTGTTTGGACTTACAAAATCAAATTGATCCCCTACTAAAAGAAATTTTTCGCAAAAATCAAGAAATGTGGTACCATATTTCCAGTATGATTAGGGAATATTTGCAAAATACTTTTAACGGAAATATTATTCGCTCAAGGTGCCGAATTCTTCGGAAACCCAGGTCAGTCGACCTCTCGCGGAACGACTTCTTTCTGTGGGGTCACTTGAAAAGTGTTATCTATACAAATGTTAAATTTGAATAACTTAACCAGTTACAAAACGCTATTTTCTTAGAATGTGACAGGATTGCACAATATCCACTAATCAAAAGTAAGTAATGTTAAAAATGAATTTTATGATCGGTTATGATCGGTTAGGATATCTGTTAATGGAGGGTTGTTTGTTGTTTAATTAAAATATAATGTTTGTTTTGATTAATGTTTCTTTTTATCAATGTTTTGTAGCCGTATTTTTGTTATAATTATTAATTATCTTTAATAAAAGGCTTGAGGGTCAAATTTATAGTCGTTCCATGAAGCTTCCTTGTTTGGACGGTATAATCACTTAAATGAAATTTATTCCAAGAACGATTTAAGGGACAAGACGATCTTAAAAACCGAGTATGAGTTTGAACCTAAGAAAAACATAATAATATACCAATATTCTTAGTTTATTTTGAATGTGTGAAACCAAATGCGCCTGTTTTTATTGTAAACCAAATTTTATTTGATATGTCATTGTCCATCTTCACGTCTTCCAATTTTGGAAATAGGGTCATAGAAAATATGAGCTGATGTCTGAGGCCCAATTCTGCCATTATATTTAATTTAATAACTGATGGTTGGTTTATTCAAACTAGGCACATGAGTTAATCATACCACCTAAAAATTTACAATGTATTTCCTATGTTCCGTTAGTGCCGTTTGAGAATATCAAGATTTTACGTTTATTTTACACATCTTGTAGCATCTAATTCAAATTCCGTTACATGTATCTTTTAAGTCATCTTCGAATAACACTGATATCAATTACTGTAGTATTTTTTTAAATAAATTGAAATATTGGAAAAATGTATGTTTTATTCAAGACGCTTTTTTGGGCCACCCTATGTCCATTAAAATAATTTTAAATTGTGCATAGTAGCAATCTTTACAACTATTGTACTTAGCATATTTTCATAACTTTTGAAACGAATGAGATGACCCTGAACTGCATCTTTGGGCAATCGCAAATAGGTTGCCAATTTTAAATTAAATCGATCAAAATATTATTTTAAAATAGGGTTCATTCGGCCCTGTGTTCTGAGGCAAATTTTGTTTGCGTGTTGCGATTATATATATGGTCCAGTTTTGTTCACTATCTATATAGCAAAAATCAAAAAATACCTTTTCTTGCGCTATTCGGACGATTACTTATAAGGGTGTGAATCGATTTAAAATAACCGATTAAAAATTCGACAAAATACTTACTGAAGAATACGGCAATCAGTTGAGGGGTTGTCCCTCTAAACATTCCGACGATTGAAAACATCGCGACGTTTTCCTATCTCCACGCAGTGAAAAATCGATCTATTTGCGGTTTGTTGTGGACTGACTGAGCCGTAAGAATGGTTCAAGGCGACCCGTACACAAATGTATCGATTTTTTAAAGTTGTGATCAGGAGCTGATTGTCTCAACTGGGGATTTCCTTGGGCCGTTCTGGCTAAATGGCATCCCGAGTTGAATTGCCTAGAAAATAATTTAAAATTTAATAACGCACGCGAGGATAGGAACAAGCGGAATAAAACAGAAAAATGGGGATTTTTTTCATTTTTAATTTAGTAACAAATACGTGCAAGCTTAAACAGAGTCACTCAAAGTTCAAAGCTTGGTTTTAAGTATTTTACAATTTTCTAGAGAGCCGCAAATTCAAAAATATTTTGGCAAGCATTGTCATTGCGTTGGTAAAATCAAGGACGAGGTAACGAGACGATTTTAAAATTCGAAATAATAATTATAGAGTTCGAAATATGTCGACTCACTACTTAAATTAAACAAGGGCTTAAAGTTGTCTTTGCTATTATGTGTTGTGTTGTATCGCTTGAAACCGATGAAATGGCAAATTCGAAGTTAAAAATATGGAAAAAATCTGTTTGTAGATGTATTAAATTGATTTTCATAAAATTATTAAAAGCAATTTAACTAATTCCAAACAGAAAAACCGAGTTTAACCTAAAATGTATTTAAATCCTTTGTTTAATTAGCGTAATACAAATATTTAATTGAGAAACGACAATAAAGTTATATTGCTTCTGCAGCAAGGGGCTAAGCTATAAAACAATCTACATAATTAAATAGTTCACCTAATGTTTTATTCCTAAAAGATAGGTTAGTTATTAAAATGTACTTCAATTTTTCGTGTAACAATTATATTATTTATTTAAAAAAATCTTTTGTGTTTTCGAAAATGCTTTTATTGGAATGTTTTTTCCTCAGTTTTATACGCGTTGCGACAGTTTACAAAAACATTATAAAATAGTTTCATTGAACATGGATTCTTTAAAAAGCTTTTGCATTTTGGACACAAGTCAAAATTTTATTGAACATTGTATCGGAAATCGGAAATATGTTTTTACGCAATGAAACTTAATTTTAGGCGATATCTTGACTACCAACCGAGATAAATGCAGTGGTGTACTCAGATTTTTTTCTACAGTTATCCATTTTCTTGTTAATGAATACAGTTTTTTTATTTTATGTGCCAATGATAGTTGGATATGGTATTTGAAAAATGCCCTTGACGAGCCCTTTTTAGCGATATAGATTTAGTAGTATCTGTGATGAAAAAAGGCGGAAATATAGAGAAATTTTTTGTATATTGTAACATTTGCATATTTTGTATATATACTGGACCGTGCATATGGCTGAGAGTGTCAGTTGAGGACACAACGAATTATGAAAAGTATGATATGTTAATGTCATATACCTACTAGACATATAGAGTGGACAGTACAGGAACTCATGAAGCAGCTATGTAATTTTTTTTGAGAAGGTCCATTCAAAGTGCGCATGCGCGAGATTTAAAATTTCGTTTGAAACCAATAGCAACTCTAATGGCAAATTCTGACGTTGGAACCATAAGATGTTGCTTTCAACAAAAAAACATGGCTTCTAACAGACCGTCCACGTTTGGATGCGGCATCTTTACGACAGTATTTTCTCAAAATATGTCGAAATAATATTAAATTTACAGGAACAAAAAGGAGCTAAGGTATGGAAAAGCACTGCAGAATTTAGCAACCGCGTCGGCGTCAGTATATATTATATATAACTTATAGCCCAGATAGCACATAATATCCCCAGTATATCCGGTCAATGTCCCATTTAAGTCGCATGTCCCGGGACATGATGATATTCTTAGGATATACATATATCCTAATGATATCTGTAAAATACATCCCACGGATATCCTCTGAATGGATAGCTCACGGATTTACTGTACACGATATACCACAGATATCCTCTAAATGGATGGTCTGAGGAGATCCCCTTGGTACCATTAGAATAGAAATAAGGGAAAAAAATGAAAAAATGAAACCTAAGAACTAAGAAGGAAAATACTTAGTTAGTTTAGTTTAGTTGTGTTTTGGGAGACATTTGATTGGCAATGTGTGACATCTAAATCGACGTCAGTGTTGGCAAGCCCTAATAAGAACTGGAATCAAACCGTTAAAATCAACTTGTTTTTATTATTTTTGGATACGAACGTGTCAAGAAACGCTATTTTAATAAAAATATAACAGAAAATACGGATTTATCTAAGTAAAAAAAATACAAAAACAAAATTAATATATTTGTTATAAGATCCCTTTTGACAACACTGTTCGGCTGCAACCAATGACGCAACTACTCGCGGTCGTGCCGTGCCGGACTCGCTCGAGTCTCGTCGGCTTCTCCGTCCGTGTGCTATTTGGGAGGTTAAACCTCTATTGAAGTTTCTTCTAGTAAAAATTCAACTTCTAGCCTAATTGTTTTCTTATATTTTCTGTAACTCTTTTCAATGTATTCAATGTATGCTTATATAAACGTTTCGCGAAAATGTATGTTCCATTTTTGGAAGACCTGAAATTAATTATTCAAACTAGTATTGATTTTAAATGAAGAGTTTGGACAATGGGAGAAGATTAAAAGATCTTATATATTAAGGATAGAATTTTCTAAGCAAAAGCGAAATTGCAGGAAGCCACTTGAGAAGCGTTTGCTTTCATCAATCGTATCGACTTAGTGCATAGTTGCCATTAACTACGTGTGTATTGAAGAAGGCGGCACCCAACTGAATATTTACGTTAAAACATTTCAATATAATTAAAGTAAAAGTATTAATTTTGATATTTGGTATTTATGTTTTGTTTATGTTTCATTTAATAGGTTAAAATCACTATAATTTTGTTTTCAAAAATATTGAAATTAAATATTAAAAGTAATATCAAAAATTAAAATATCAAATGGTTCTTAGGTTTCATGTTTTTCACTTGTTATTTCAAATTGTCCTTCTCTTTTCTACAGTTCCAGTGTTTATTAAATTATAGAAAGATTATCATCAAGAAATTTAACAACATTGCTGTATATTTTTAAATTCTTCATGTTCAAGAACCCCCAGGTCCTCAGGTATGAAATTTTGTCGTTCCAAGTGTGGCAGTTTTGGAAATATTTAAGCGTTCAGGTACTTTTTACTAATCCGGTATACTATTCATGTACGCAAATAAAAGCAAGTTTCTATAAAGATCGAATTCCTTTGGCATATAAGGGTAGTGAATAAAAAAGAAATGAAACTGATGATGAATGGAATGATTTATTGAAACGAATTTCTGAAGAAAATTTTTTAGTTAACGTATAGAAAGTTTTTTTCTAGTCATACAAACAAAAACTTTTTCCCAATTTCATTTGATTTGTTAACCTTCATTGATTTCAATTCTGGTTTTCCCGTCTTTGAACACCTGTTAATGAAATAGTTGTGTGCTATTGCAAAAATTATTGTCAATTTTTCTAAAATGCCTACCATAAATAATTAGATTTTATTAAGAACTGATTTTTATGAACACCCTGTACATCAGAAAATTTTGCTATGATGTGAGAAAATTTGAATCTATCAGGCGTAAGGTCTAGATGACGGATTTGATTAGTCTTATTGGTGGCAGTTTTACGATTTTTACGATTTGAGGTTTTTTGTTTCTAAATGCTAAATAAAAAATTATTTATCAAACTCTTGACTGGAACCTTCAGCACTGCATTAACACTAAAAATTATTTAAAATTGTGAGTTATATGTTTATGAAAGCCCCCATCGTCCCAAAAAAAAATAAACTTAATCGTGGGTGATTAATTCTTAAAAACATATCATATGATTTCGACATATTCAAAAAAGGTGCACCAGTTTCGGAGCAGTTCATGAAATAATTATCTGAACGGCAAAATAAAATATCATTACTGAAAGATAAATATTTATTTTTATAGATTTGACATTTGGATTTTTATCTTTCACCAATCAGGGTTAACCACATTTTACAGAGGTTTATCTAAATATATTATTTAAATGACAACTATGAAAAACATCAACTAGTCACAAAGTTATAACAAATATTACTGAAGGTTAACATTGAGTTTAAGTACCTGTTGGCATACTTAGGATTCATTTTTAAGAATTTATAAGATAAACAAAATTGAAACTTATTCCTTCATAGCCATTTTGAATATTGCAAATCTTATTCTGTCAGAATTCTATAAGTAGAAAACGTTAACGTGCAGATCAAATTGATAGACACGTATGTATAAACAATAATAATGTTGGAAATACTGTTGCGATTTCTTTTTTTTATAACTAAATTCAATTATATTCCTCTTCTAGTAAAGACAGCAAAAATAAATATTGCTAACGCTCTTCGTATAAGTTTTATTGTTACTATGAATCTAGCTTATTAATAACACAGACAACTTGTAGAAGTATCGAAAACTCATTATAACCTGTAAAAAATAGTAGAGTAAAATTTTCTTAGAAATGGACAAACTTCCAATTAAATTACAAAAAGTTCTTTATGACGTCTCAGAGTTACTGACACAGGCATTGCTTCCTATAATCAAAGTCACACTGAGGCTTTGAAAAAGTGTATTATTAGTACTTTATTAATTGGCCATACAGAGATTTAAGATAGATCACGACTCTATAAGACTCCTCACTATATACTCAGTGTGACTTGGACTATAGTGTACTTGTCAATGAACCAATAAAATGCAGATTTACGAGTGTTTATCGGTACAGGGAGGTATTTTTATTTTAGACTGTAGGCTGAACAAAATTTCGACGACGGAATGGAGGAGAGTAACGAATCAAAAAAAAAATCAATTGAATATATGCTGGGAGGCAATCGTTTCCAGAGGATATGATGGTAGAATTTAGGTAATATTAAATTTTTAACTTTATTATTGTTTCTACGTATTTAAATTTTAAAGAACTGTTTGAAAAGACATTTGCCAAAATTTATAATATGTAATAACTATATAGTTATGACAACATAATAAATAATATTCCTGAAACCTAAACAGAAAATAAAGAAAAGCGATAATAACTTATATTTTTAAAGTCAAAATTTATGTGCTAATCTTGTAAAAACGTCAAAACTGTCATTGGAAGGAGAGTGGGGTTAACTGCTAACTAACTAAAAGCAATTAATAACATTATTACAGTCATTACAC